CCGGGTAATACCTCTAGCTGTTACAAACGGAAAAATGATTTTAGCATAATATAATAGAATTTTTTTTCATTAATAATAAGTTTAAATCTTCTAAATTAAATACAAAAACGCAGTTTGCGAAAACCATTCATAGTCTCGTTTGTCTTTGATAGATTTAATGTTTTTTAAATCTCCAAAGTCTAAAAGTTAGTATAAATACATGAATACTTGATTTTGTAAAGTAATACATCGATGTTATAGAAAGTAAAGAATAAATAATCAACCCTTTAAAAAAATAGGGTACAATCTCGAATCCGAAGGTTCATGACATCAAGATATTCAAGACACAGCAACTCTATAATTTCATATCGTAATAATATTAAGACTATTTTATATTAAAATAATGTAAAAATTTTATCTTGTAAACATCTAAATTGATTACCAGTTACCAGCTTACAATCCGTAGGCACTTTAGGCTTTTTGAAATTAAAACTTCGTCTAACCTTATTTGTAGAAGGTAGGAAGGAAAAAATCAAACAACTATTAAAAAATAAACGAGGTTCAGATGAATCAAAATTAGGTTCAACTGACAAAATTAATTTAATTTAATTTATATTGTTATATATAATTCAATCAGCATTCAATTATAAAGTTTATTAAATATAATAGATGTTATTTAAAGTATAAAATTATGACATAACAATTAATTTCCATTTTATTTTGCTATGGTCAAATGATTTCTTTGTCCAATCAAAATTCAATTTTTGGAATAATTTCGTATTTGATTGGCTATAATAATTCCATTTTATTGCATTTTATTCTTATTGGAAGTATTCACCGCTCCTGGCTTGGTAACGCTAGATTTGCTAAGTATACACGGTATATGTAATTTAAGATCAAGTGATTAAATATTATAAGATTACATAAGCATATTTATGGTTGAACACAGAATTTGCTGAAAAAATCACAAGGTCGAAAAATTGCCAAACATTTAAGTGTTAGCATACGGGTCTTTGCCTTGAAAATGACCTTACGGTACATGATACCGTAAGGTCATTTTCAAGGCAAAGACCCCATATCTTCCATAAGCCGGGTTCTCAAACACTTTAAAAGATATGATATGGATATATTAAGAAACTTCCGTCACTTTTAGGATAACCACGTTTACTAAACATGAACGATATAAAATATATCGACAAATTCTTGATTATATAACCTTTTATTATTTGCACCTATTCGTATAATATGTTTATTATGATAATTTATTTTATATCTAGATCCTTCTTTTTTATATTATCAAAATTTATTGTTAACAAGAACAGCTTTTTTTCATAAACTTTTGCACAAACTAAATACACTAAACATTTTGAGCAAGTATTCAAATGAAAGTTAATTATGTTGAATGTGTCGACATTATATTAATAAATATCAGTAGGACGAATATGATAATACATGTAATACAAAAATACTACCTTTATATACCGTCGAAACCACTAGCTTAGCCGAATTTGTCGAAAGAATCATTTGGCTAATTATTTTATCAGTTGTTTCAGGAATTATGAAAACAGCTGTAAGCTAAAGTTCGGTCACTAAATTTAAATTACTTAATTGATCAAGTAAACTCTGAAAAAAATTTTGGACCTCTAATCTAGAAGTTTATTAAAATGACGCAACATAACTTGGGAAAGTTTATTATCTCAGCTAACAAATTTTGAAAAATTTGAGGTATTTCATAAATTCGCCATTTACCATATTTAAACTATTTATTGATTAATGTCGGATATAAATTCTTTGCATTACACAATAAGATCTATTTAAAACTGTTCAATTCATCTTATAAAGAATGCACCCCTTAAATGTGTACCAGATTGATGGCGCAGTTAGCCTCGCCGTAACAAAATTACGGGACTCAACATTGATTAACAATGTCGCGTTAAGTTAAAACGATAAGAAAAAATAAGCATAATATTAAATTAATATATTGAATTTAATTGTTTGTACAAATGATCTAGTTATGAATAGTCACAAAATAAATTTAAAATGACAAATAAAATTAATTTATTTAATTTTTTGCAACATTCTTGCTCAAAACTTCGTTTTGCATAACCCGCCGACCCATTTCAAAAAAAAGATTTTTTTTTAAGTTCCAATTGCCCCAATTATTCCATTTTTGCTATTTAATTTTCACCGTCATCCGGTAGTGAGCTTGATTTTCCGGATTAACCCGACAGGTCTGTTTAAAATAATAATAATAATAATAAATTCTAAATTTTCTGATTCCATGTTATGCAAAACGAAAAATTAACTTGCGTGGCCTTAAATATGAGCATGAATCTATTGAATTATAGTAAAATTTTTTTTTAAAAAAAAAAAAAATTCAGACCCACCGACTGGAATTTCGGGAATTTCGGAACACCAGGTTATGCAAAACGAAAAATTAACTTTGTGTGGCCTTGTTATTTTTCTTTTTTTGCGAGAGGGAATAGTGAGGATCATAGTTTTCCTTCACTTCATTTAAAACAGTATGTGACTTTTTAGCTTAATTAGACCTACTCAGCTTACGCCGTTTAACAAATCCGACTTGAACGCGGATCATAGAATAATATAACACGTGACAAATCTGTGTTACAGTTATTATTATACAAGAAGGAAGTCAATCGTGAGATTGAAAGCAATTTTGATGCTCAATATCTTGTAATAAATTTATCCAAAGCGATACAACATTAGGATTCGTCATTTTGGTAGTCATTTTTGATTTCTTGTAAGAAAATATCAACTTCTCATTTTGCTCAACCGAAAAACCATCAGCTTCTTCTTCATTTGCAAAATATGAATCTATTTATTAATTCAACAAAAAAAAAAAGTATACTTTGACTTTCAATATTTCATCAGATGATTCTGATTTTTGTAAATGGTCTTGCGAAATAGAACTAGTCTATAACGAAGCATAAAAGGAATTGCTTTTTGCGACTTGACCTAATAATAATAATAATAATAGTAATAAATAAATAAATAAAGAGTAGATAAATCGAATTAATCAGATATTTGGGGGTGAATCAGTAGAAACGCACCATATTTTTTTTAATAAAATTTTCTCGAATCTTCAACCAAAAATAACTTAGCAAAATTTAGTAAAATTTTTTTAAAATAAATTCTACAAGTTTTTAAAATTGGCTTAAAAAAATTTTATTAAATTTGATTAAGTTGAGTTATTCTTGCTTAAAGTTTTAAAAATATTTATTTAGAAAAATATGGTGCGTTTCTACTGACACACCCCCGTTTGTAAAAAAAAATAAAAAATAAATTTTTGTTCGTTAACTCCATATACTAACGCAAATTTTTCGTCGAAGTTCATCCATACCATTTTTGAAATGTTGTTAAAGTTGAGCATAAATTATAAATTAGTATGGAAATGTTAATTATAGTACGTACAGTACATATACGTATACTGTACGTACAGTAATAAAAAAGTAATTCGTAATATCGATTTTATACTTAGATTTGTGACATTATGAAAATCGATTATTATTATTTATTAGTCTTATTATTATCAGTTATTATTTGTCTTGAGATTATCTTCCCCCTTAGTACGTATAATTAAACTTCATTACTATTTTTGGATCAAATCATATTAATGGACAATTTCGAGGAGGAAACTTGTTTTGTTTTATCTAGTAATTTCTACATGATTCCCTTTTTAGCCAAATAGTATAACACGCTGAACGTGCTAAACACTTTCGACGTGATAGCTCATATGATAAAATCTAATCGTTGTATGGAATTTATTATCTTAGAAAGATCTAGATAGCACGTTTAGCGCGGAAATTCTTAGAATCTGTTACGTGAGTTGTGTAGCACAATTAACGTGCTAGGTAACGCGCATAACGTGTAGTATAGTAAATCTAAATGTATATAAGTAAAGAAATTTCACTTGAATAAAGGCAGAATTTTCCTTTCGGTTTTTTTTTACTTGAAATTATAAAGGAAGTAAGCTATTAAAAGCTGAATAGCCCTTTATACTGTTGACTCCGGATAATAAACTCTTGTTTAAATAAATTTTCTTCGTTACAAATCCCTTGCTCACATCATTTATAATTATCTGCTTACAATCGACATTTCCCATAAACGCTACGCCCAACTTCGTAACTCCTTATCGTTTTCATGAGCCCTTTCTTTGTAACTATTAGAATATAAACTAAATTCTCCCTTTTGAATAGTTACACTACGCATTCTGCATGATCGATCACTAGGGCTTAGGCCAACTGCGCCACCAACCTGGCACACATTCAAGACGTACCCGCTTCAATTATAGTACCCCCTAGTATAGTACCCGCTTCGATTATAATACCCCCTATTATAGTACCCGGGTATAATTAAATATTTTCTCATGCCCCCGGGTATTTTATTCCGGTAAATTGCGTTATTTATCGACATACTAGATCAAATTTATACATGTAAGTGACTTTTGGTCGATTAAGTGAATTTTTTAACGAATTTGTATAAGGAGAGCTTCTTCCTGCGTTGCTAATACAAAATATAATTCCAATTATTTGGGCTAGGTGCTGAGAAAAGGGACGAAATTGACAATTTTTTCAAAAGATGTTTTTTTTTGCATTAATCAATTTAAAATACGACTAGGAGCATTTTTCACTTAAGACACAAAAGTAGGTGTTAATAAAATTTTGCAATATAGCTTCTTAAAGTTTGCATTTTCTTATGATATATTATAAGATCTACAACTTAAAAATTGATTTTCCGAAGATCTTTTTTTTTTTTTTGTCAATTTCATCCCTTTTCTCAGCACCAAGCACATTTTATATTGTATTCGTATCGCAGGAAGCTCTCCTTATACAAACCCGGATTACACTCGACGCGCATTCGACACACTAAAAATGTAGGGCAGCTGTTAAAAATCGAAAAAGGCCTTTGCTATAACGAAAAGTATAAAAGTAACTGCTTTCCCTCGATTTCAAGCTTCATTCCAATAGTAAGGAAAAGCATAATTACATTAAAAAGAAAAGATGGGATTAAGTCACTCTTCTTATCATTCTTCTCATGTGAGGAGCGTGACGGATTATGGTCCAGTTATTGTCGAACCACATTTAGAAATATACCCGCGTTTGCCAATTTGTGAATTCATGGGCTATGACAATAACTCATACAGCCCACAATTCGAATTGTTGATTCAAAGTTATCAAGCGCTATATGATCGCCCCTGCGAAGACACGCGATCATATTGCCAGGTCGCTGGACTCCATGCAATACCTTTTAAAGCCTATGATGGAGTTACTGGTGGCGTTCATGAATACAATAATGAGACGGACTGGATAAAAGGTCGTTATGGTGGATATTGTCATCATGGAGATGTTTTGTTTCAACCATGGCATCGACCTTATTTACTATTAGTAGAATCGCTATTAATTAACGAGGCAAAGAGAATTGCTTTACAATACCCAGATAATGAAAGAGAAAAGTACGTCGAAGCAGCAAATAAATTTCGCCATCCCTATTGGGATTGGGCAGAAAAAGAGGCATTGAAGATTCCGGATGCATTTACAGAAGCTGAATTCGAAATAAATACGCCAAAAGGCATGGAAAAAGTCAAAAATCCATTAAAAAGTTATATATTACCCGTAGATCTTTCATATCCCCTTGAAAAAGGCCGAAATCCAACTGATAAACCCCACTATGAAATACCAGGCCTGGATCGTAATCCATTTACACCTGCTGGTTATCCTACTATCAGATACCCTAACCCTAACTATGAAGATCAATATGATTTATTAAACCTAAATATGACCATATATAATCCTACGGTCTTTAGACCAGGATTTTATCAAACATTTCATATTGATAATTACCTACACTTTAGCAATCATGCTTTAAGATCAAATGACACAGAAATGGGAGATTATCTCACAGCTCATCCGAAACCAAAATTGATTGGATATTCACATTTTGCATCTATTGAAACAACTCATGATGCTTTTCATTTCATATCTGGTGGTCCTGGTGGTCATATGTCTTATGCGGATATAACTGCATACGACCCGTTATTCTTTTTTCACCATGTCTTTGTTGATCGTCTATTTGCAATTTGGCAGACAATGTTAGTATTTTAAATAATTTTTATTTATATTGTAAATAACAAAGATTAAAAACAACTTACATATATATATATATATATATAGATTTCCTGATAGTTGGGTTCCGGAAAATATTAGCGTTAATGGAACTTATACACTAGAAAAAAACTCAGTAGTAAATGAACATACAGGACTAACACCATTCCGAAAATCAAAAACAGAATTTTGGACAGCTTCAGACATTCGAGATATAGAAAAACTTGGATATACTTATCCTGAATTGGTGAAATTTAAAGGTCAAGATCCAAAAAAAATTGCAAGCATATGTTCTTGCATACTATAAACCTGATAAGTTTCATGGACGTAGATTTTTCGCAAAATTAACTATAGAAGCGTGTAAATTAATTGGATCGTACGTTATTAGAGTTTTCGTTGATTTGAAAAATGCAACTGCTGAAACACCAGTAACTTCACCTCATTTTGCTGGCTTAGTTGCCATGCGGCATAAACCTCATAAAGATGCTACTTATTTAGTAGGAAGTGTCGATATTACAGCAGCTATGGAACGATTGGGAATACGAACACAAATACACCATTATTATTATGATCTACTTGATAACAATACAGGCTTGTTAAATCCGGAGGCAATTTTTGATGTTGATAATGATATCAACATAGTTGCTTGTTATTTGAATGGTACAGAAATTAGTCCTAAAGAAGCTGGTGTTAAAAAAGTTGAAGTTTATTCACTCCAACACGATGAAGACGATCCAAATTTCTTGGTCGAAAATAGTGGTCAACATCATTTCACTAAGAGATTTTAAATTTTTATCAATGACACTCAATTCTTTACTTTGTTCTACAATTATTAATTATATGTGAATTACTTTAATTACTAAGTACCTTGGTACTAATTTAGCTTGTGTCTGATAGCCTTCAAAATTGCACTAAAGACTCTTGTATGCTATTTTTTTTAAATAAACCAACTAAATACTTAGTGTATACCGAAATTCTCCATGTAAAATATCAGGGTGCGCTAAATTTCATGATAAACATTTGATTTGTACCCGGTACATTATATGGCAGAAGGTATATTAAATGAAGGATCTTTTTTAAGGTATATATTAAGTGATCATATTTGGTTCTTTTCTATACTTGAAAATGTGATTTTACGTTTTATAAGTACTTTTAAGGATTAATAATATGATAATTAATATTAATTATTAATATTAATTATAAAGGGGAATTAAGAATGTTTTTTTCGTAAAAAATTTTCAAATTGTTTTTTTTTAAAAATTATCTTGACATTTTTTTGCAAAAAATTTTTTTATTTGTGTTTTTGTTTATAAATCATAAGTATACGTATAAGGTATTATTTCTAATTTTTTTATAAGTTGTATAATCGTATAGTCGTTTTTTCATATTTTGCTAAGACAAAACTTTTTTAAAAAATAAATTTTTTTAACAAAAACTTGTAATATGTTTGAAAACTATTTTAACTAAGCTTTAGCAAAAGAAATATTGATAGTAGCTATTTTAGAAAAACTTTGTAAGTTTTATTTTGAAAAGTTTTTAGAGCTACTGTGCATAGAACAACTGATAGATTCCAAATCCAACCTAAATTGAAATTGAAAAAATAAGTGAGAAAAATTAATATTAACTTAAATATCTTAATAGTAGTTTAATTCAATTACTTTAATTTTAAATTGAACTTGCTAAATAAGTCAAGCTTTATATTAAGTTAAATCAGTCAATTGTTTTATAGTAGAGACTAAAGTTATAGATTTAACAAATATATTCTTTAATATTTAATATGTTTAAATAAAGTAATATTTAACTTCATAAATAAATATATTCTCTTGAAATATTATTTTTTTTTTTCATAAATAATTAATTGGTAAATCAACTAATATAATATACAGTTAAATTCACCTTTTTCTATCATTTCAAATTTATATAATCAATAAATACGTAATTCAAAGTTTTGGATTTAATCATTTATATCCGGATTTAATAATTATAGATCCGGAGTTAATTGCTAGATTTGGATATTATAAAATCCAGAATTAACAATAATATCTAGCATTGTCACTATATATCTGAAACAGATTTGTGAGTGGACAGAGATAATGTTCCTGTATATTTACAGCTGTTTTCATAATTCCTGGAACACTTGATAAAAATTAGCCGAATGATTTTTCGGCTGATCCGGTTGTTATTATTTTGGCATAATAAATTTACAGCTATTTTCATTATTCCTGGGACACCTATAAAAAAAACTTGCCGAAAAATTTTTCGGCTGGTAATTTTTTCGGCATAATAAAAATTGATATAATACTGTAATATATA